TAATATTAAGCTATATATTATAGTCCATTATTAATTTTTTACGATTTAGTCTTCTATCAATTAATGATACTTATGTATTTTTGCTACTCTAACATATTGATAAAATTATATACAGTTACTTTAATTTATACAATAACATCAATTTTTAATCTATCATATATTTTTAAAATTTTTATTCTTTGACTGGATATGTTTAATCTGTTATTATTGCTATTTTTTTACCAGTATTAACTTGACTTTTTTTATATTCTGAAAAAGGATAGTAAATCTTAAATTATAAATTACATTTATATATCTTAATAAAAGAATATCAAACAATTGCTCTTTTCTTTGCTAAGTTTTAAAAATTTAGCTTTTTATTTTGTGTAATTTTAAACTTTTGAGAGTATTTTGTCTAATTTTTAAAACTTTTTGTATTTTTTTTTGTAATACTTCATGTAATAAACTGATTCCACGGAGCTATTTTATATATTTTATTAATTTTATTTAAATTATTGAGCTCTAGATAGTTCATGGGGTATTAGGATAGGATATAACTATGATTAGATTGATTATAATTTAAAATAGTACAGGGTAATTTTGACTATGGAAAGCTTTTTCCGAACTCGTGCTTTTTAAGGGAGTATGATTTTTATTTTTCTTAAATTTTTTTATAATTTTGAGAATAACTTTTGTCTTTTTAATTTGTTTTGTGGATTTTGTAAATATCACATCCACATTATATACATTTGTAGGTCTGCGCTATTCCTGTGTTTGACCGTTAGGGCAGACAATATTTATCTCATTAATTTATTTGGTTTTTGCATATACGCCCTTCATTTTGTAAGCATTTATAAATTTGGTATTTAATAATTTTATTTAAAATTACATTTCAATTTAAATTGTATCATTATCTTTATACTGTGTATATCTAATAAGAATTCATCAATTTATCAACTTACTCTTACCTAATGGATTAATATTTGAATTCCAATGGTATTTTTGTCTATTAAAAGATTTTATTAAATTATAAGTTATATTTATATATCTTAATAAAGTAATATCAAATAATTACTCTTTTCTTTGCCAAGTTTTAAAATTTTAGCTTTTTGTGTAATTTTAAACTTTTGAGAGCACATTGTCTAATTTTTAAAACTTTTGTTTTTTTTGTAATACTTCATATAATAAACTGATACCACGGAGTTGTTTCATATATTTTATTAATCTTATTTAAATTATTGAGCTTAATAAACTGATACCACGGAGTTGTTTCATATATTTTATTAATCTTATTTAAATTATTGAGCTATAGATAGTTCATGGGGTATTAGGGTTGTTTCATATATTTTATTAATCTTATTTAAATTATTGAGCTATAGATAGTTCATGGGGTATTAGGATAATATATAACTATGATTACATAGATTATAATTTAAATTAAATATTTAAATTAGTACAGGATAATTTTGACTATGGAAAGCTTTTATCGAACTCGTGCTTTTAAAGGAAGTATGATTTTTGTTTTCCTTAATTTTTATTTTTTATAATTTTGAGAAAGACTTTTATCTTTTTAATTTGTTTGGTGGATTTTGTAAATATCACATCCACATTATGTACATTGTAGGTCTACGCTATTCCTGGTTTGACATTTGGGACAGATATTATTTGTCTCATTAATTTATTTGGTTTTTACATATACGTTATTTATTTTGTAGACATTTATAAATTTAGCATTTAATAACTTTATTTAGATTTACATTTTAATTGTATCCTTATCTTCATACTATGTATATCTAATAAGAATTCGTCAATTTATCAACTTACTATTAATGGATTAATATTTGAATTTCAAAGGTATTTTTGTCTACTGAAATATTTTCTCGAACTCGTGTTTTTAAAGAGAGTATGATTTGATAAAATTGGGATAAATTTTTATAATTATCTCAGTTTTACTTTTTATCCAATTCTTATTGACTAACACTATATAATTTTATCCTAGTTCTAGTTCTAATGGACTAACACTATAAAAAATTATCACACAAATTATCTCAGTTCTAATTTTGAGTTCTACTTGACTAACTCCGCCTGGAGGAAATCTCATAACTGGGAACGATAATAACTTTTTCGGATAATATATTCATGAAATCCATCTGTAGATATTCAATAGCATCGATATGATTAAAAAAAAGGAAGAAAATTGTAATCCATGTCTCTTTCTCAATCATTAATTATGTTGTTCCTATATAGCAAAAAATTCAATATACGCCACAGAGATTGATAAGTAGGTTCTACCAACTTACATCACTCAAAACGTAACCTATGATTAATATATGTCAACCCCATCACTGTCCACAAAGAAAAATTACATCAAAAATATTATCCATATGAAGAACTCTGCGTTCAATAAACTGTTAGGATTGTGTATTTGATTCTTTGTATAACTTCATAAAATTTAGACAGTGTTAGAGTTCTATCATGATTAGAAGATTGAGTTTCATCGTGATTAAGAGTTTGAATCCTATTCTAATTAGGAAGTTAGGCTAGAGATAGAGTTTTGGTTTCCCTATATATATTCTTCTATTATTGGAGGAACAATCAAGCAGAGGAGAGAGAGCCAATATTCTTATAATCTAGGCTTAACAGAGGGCATGGCCTGATTCAAGAATATTGTGCGAGAGACGAGAGTTTCATAGTCTTTGTCCGCCAAAAGATTACATCATTGGGAGAGGAGTTCACAGTCTTTGTCTGTTCAAAAGATTGTAAGGAGAGGGCTTTGAAGATAATATAAGAATTGATTATGTATGTGAGGTTGATAGATTAAGAGACGAGAGTTGAATGGTTCCTCTTGTAATTCTCCCTGATACATAGTGAATTTCGATCTCGTATTGTTGCCCGTGGTGGACGTAGGTCGAAGTTGGCCGACCGAACCACGTAAATCCTGATGTTCTTTCTTCTTGATTGTGGTTGTTTTATATATTGTTGATTGTGAGTTGGCTTCCCAGTTGCGCAGATCGCAGTAGGCGAGGAGACTAAAATTCCCCAAACATAAGCAGTATCTGAACTCAACATTTTCTCTTAATCCTTGAATTCAAACAAAATTGAACATTTCATACTCAAATTGTATATTATTTTTGCTTACTTTTTTCTAGCGCTAGCTATAAATAACACGAAATCTCAATATTCAATGTGTATTTGGGAAGTCAATATAGACAGGTTTCATTAAAAGTCGAAAGACTAATTTGCTTAAAGTTCACACTAGAAAATATATGTAAATATTAGAAGAATTCGATTAAAGATTGGTGGCAGCTCTAGTCAAAATGAATGGATAAGCTTAGTTGAACGATAATCTCGGATACTAAGCAAACAATTGACTGCAAGCATAATGAGCGCGTGGACACGTATCACTCTAGCCCAATCTTGTTGGGATTATTCAATTGAAATTGAATGCCTCTCGACTCACCAGTCAACACCCATGGAAGTTCAAGCCTCAGTTTTTGTTTTTTTCTCGTTTCTTGTTCTTCTAGTTTCTATTTCAACGTGCCCAGAAAAGGAAAAAAAAAAATCTGGAATGGTTATAATTTTTAGTTGTATGCATTACTACTTCTCATCTTAAGGTAAATCAATCATACCGATCAATTGAACTGTTGCTATTAAAGAGAAGACTCTTACGATCTATCCAAGATATAGGAAACTCGTCATAGGAAACTCATCAGAGCATAAAGTTATAAATGTACCACATTGCTATAAGAGCAAGCTACGTCAGGTTCACATAGCATCAGACACACGTATACATTAAGTCACCGTTTGGCAAAAGGTTAAGTGGGGGGTTAAGGAGACTTAACCCCTTCTTAACCCGCCAAACACAAAAAATTTATACAATGGTTATAGTGAGTTAACCCTCTATAATTTGCCAAACATAAAAAATGTAGAAGCAGGGGCGTAGCTAGGGCAGTCTTGCCCTGGGCAGCTGCCCAGGGCAAGAAACTGCCCCACTTCACCTCCCCCTCCCGCCTCCCCTCGCTTCCCTTCTTCTCCGGCCACTTCACCTCCCTCTCCCGCAGATCCAACCTCCTCTGCCTCCTCTTCTAAGACCTCCATCTCAACAATCCCCAACCCTCCTCCCTCTCCCGCGCCTCCCTCCTCTTCCTCACCAAGCTCCTCTCCCTCCTCTATCGCTTCAAGTCCCTCACCGCCGACCACCTTTATTTTTCGTCCAGGGCAAAAAATATTCCTGGCTACGCCACTGTGTAAAAGGGTTAAGCTAACCCCTCTAGAGGGATTAAAACGAGTTAACCCCTCAAAATAATGGGTTTACTAATACTCCTATTTAGAAGGATTAAGAGTTAACCCTTCTAATTATAAAGAAAATAGTCAAAATCATTGTTATTCGCAAATACTAAAATTGATCACAAATGCTAAAATAAAACTTATTTAACGGGTTAATAATTTAGTCCTTTAGATTATCGAATGAGCTAAGTACATTAATCCTTCTATTTAACCCCTCTTCCTTAACTCTTTGTCAAACGGGGCCTAATCGATTTTTTTTTAAAAAGACGAACTTATGCGTAACGAGATACTCTACATGTGAGTACAAGGTAGAGTACAAAATTACAATTCTCTAACTCGAACATTCATTCAAAAGTCTTAATGCAATTAAAGAGTGTCCTAGAGTACAAACTAGTTTCAATTGAGTTAAGACTTCTAATATGAACTGTAGACCCTTCAATTAAACATCAACTACGCAGTATACAACTATGAACAATTAATTCCAAGCCCCCACTTGAAGATGCGTACAAGACATCTCGGTCACCACCATCCACAAAAAAAAGAAAAAAGAAAAAAAAAAGAAAGTAAACTCCCGCACCTAAACGGCGCCAACATTTTCAAACACTCTACACACTGTAATTAATTACACAAACTCTGTTTACATACATACACGTAAACCCTTGAGTGTATATATATAATCTTAGTCTTGACATACTCAAAGACTACTCAGACCAACCAAACATATATACAACCCCATGGCATCATCGGAGATGACGTCCATGAATGCCTCCCACAAGACGGCGCCGGAGACCGGGTACAGCGGCGGC